AGAGCGCAGATGTGTTGAAATTGTCAATCTTGCACTCGGTATTGAGTAAACAAATAACTGCTCTGCCCAGAAAATGTTTCTCCTGATTGACTAACCAGGTTTATTGGATCTTTTGCAACACCGTTAGCAGTGAGATGCTCCTCAGTGTTGTGTTTATGTAGAAAGTCACCTCTAAATGCACCCTAGTGTCACTGAATACACTCTGTCGTGGTAGTAATAATTCAGAAGCTATTCTCTTAATTTCCGATACTGCTATTTAATGGATGTGTTGTTGTAGATATTTGTAGGATTTTTCAGAGTGAGCTTAATGACTTTTATCTGCGCCTGCTTTAGATTAAGGGTGTCCAAACTCCGTCTTCGAGGGCCGGTGTCCAGCATATTTTAGTTCCAACCCCAATTAAACACACCCTAACCAGCTAATAAAACTCTTTATAGCAGGGGTGGTCAACCCTGTTCCTGGAGAGCCACCTTCCTGCAGATTTTAGTTGCAACCCATATCAAACACACCTGCCTGTAATTATCACGTGGTGTTCAGGTCCTAATTATTTGGTTCAGGTGTGTTTGATATGGGTGAGAGTCACTCACACACAAAAAACATCACTCCCTATTTGGGGTTTTGCATAAAGAAAAAAACAACATGTGAACGGCCCTTTAAGCTTTCCCTCTAAATGTTTTGCATTTTGGAGATTTGTAAGCATATACTGCACTGTATTTAAAAGGTTATAAAACTTGTCACAATATGGCACATCGAATTCTGGGACGTTGATTTGATTAACGTTAAATTTGAACGAAGAAAATAGTGCTGAAAAAGCTTTATTAAAGGGTGACGAAACACCAAAACCCAATTTTTGAGCTGTTGACAGTCATATATGTGTCCCAGGCTGCTAAAACACTATTAGAGCGCATATATTTCACAAAAAAAAGTGAAAATTGGTTATTTTTGCGTCATTTTGAGCAAATTCGTTCTTCCGGTTTAAAACGAATTTTTTGAATCTGCGTCTAGGCGATTAGATCTTTGCGTGTATTTCAGTGTGGAGAGTGAATGTCAGTACCTGTGAGTGCATCGTCACGTCTCTGAGTGTGCAGCTTTAATTCATGAGAAAGACTTGGCTCAAACCAATCAGTGCGCTCTATTGTGTATGAGGCGCAACTTCATCAATATGCATGATAGCTTCGAAGACTGTTTATACATGTTACAGTGTTCAGACGGCAGAGAGACGCCATGTTGTGTTGCCAAAACAAGTGGAAGAAGTAGAATTGTTTGGAGACATGAGTTGTCAGTGTTGCTTTATAAATGTGCTGCAACAAAGGTTTTGTTTTCATTTCCTCGCTATGAGAGCGCAGCTGGACTCACGTGTGGACTACAGTACATGTGGCAGAAATACGTTGGTATGGAACTTTTTTTTTTTTACCCAAGAGCTTTTCGCATCTGGAAATGGTAAAATCCGAATTTGCTGCTCGTCTCCTTTTAAAAAAGATGAGGCTCTAGTTGGTGTTGATTCTCCTGTCTCTACAGATTTGCTAAGCGATCAGTGGTCTTTGTTTGTTTGTTCAGATGGCAAAATTAGTTTATATTGTCCGCAATACTCTTTCAGTGTTTAAAGACAGACCTTAGTCAAAATTATTTCTAAGTTTTACAGTACATTAATATCACTACAATATTATAGACTGAAAGATCCGCTGTAAATGCTGCTCACCGAGTGTAAACATGTAAACACTGCAATCAAATTATTACCATTCTGTAGATTTTTTGCCACATTTGTGACAGGATAGTCTAATGTTATACAGACAAGGCTTTCTGACGCTACCCACCAAGTGCATTAAAGTTACAGAGAAATGCAGTTTTTTTTTCTTTCCCATTCGCTGTGCGGTATTAAACATTGCATTAAAGCTACACTTATCCAGCACTTCCTGGAATCAAATGTCTCGTCGGTCAGGAGGGGCATGAATGAATTGTTCCTAAATGAAAGTGAAAGTGCCAAACTGCAGTTAAAGTCGACAAATAATAATTAGGCAAATCATTTGATTACTGATGTCCATGTAAACACAGTTACCGTCTCTCTCCCCTGCGTCTGTGTGTTGTATTTTTCTTTGTGAAAATAAGCGCATGCGCAAACAGAAACTCCCATTTTTATGCAAAATCTTCCCTCTTTTCCTCCCCCAACACTCCCACCTAAACAGAGCTGGACTCACCCACTTTCCTGACTTTTTCCCAAACTAGAGGTTCCCAAACTGAGACAGGGGGGCTTCTTGGTCCTTTAACTAGTTTTTTCCTACAGTTAAAAACAATGGTTGCTATTATTGTCATATATAATGTAAGCCAAATGTAGTTTAGTCTTGTGTGAACCTATTAAGAAAAAGATTTATGACCTTTGCTTCATTGCATCCTTTTCACAGAAAAGACTCGTGGTAACTCTTGAATAAATGCAGCTAAAAATATTCTCTTTGTGAGTTCCTGATTTTCATATTCATACAGGATATTGTTAGTTAATATAGCTCCAAGTGGTTCCTTGAAACAAGCCTCCGAATCACAGAGGCCACTTCAAGAAATAAGTTGAAATGAGCCCTTTCAGTGAATGTAGTCATGGTTAAAAGCTCTTGTTGCACGCAGAGGACTCCATGCAACCACTTTAATTATAATTGCCTCCAGCCAAATTCTAATAAATTTACAAAGTAATATAACAGCATGCCATGTTGAACATAACCTTACATGTGCCTACAATTATCAAAATGATCAAATCGCATGCATTAATAATGCTACATAAAAAAAAAAAAAACAGATACTCCTTCAGGCTGCTGAAATCATCAGATGGTGTGCAGTCTTAAAGAAAGTAACCTGCAGACCTCATGTGTCCATATTGAAGCAGGTATTAATTGTTGCTATCAGTTTACAGTAATAAGCTTACAGTTAGCTCAAGATGTATATTCAATTATAGTATTGGTGTGTGATGTTCACTCATGGTAATTAAACACACATTTGCTGTGTGTTCTTGCATTGGCCTTGGTTTAAGATTCTTGTGAATGAATAAATATGATGCTGTCAGATTACTTAGTGATTTATTGATTAACTCACTCAAAGGATTCATTTAAAAAGGCTGATTCATTTAGAAGCAAAATAAGGAACTTTATGAATGAATCATTGAACAATTGACTCAAATTATTTGTTTAAATTATGAAACAAATGATTTTGTTTATTGATGCTGCCGGCATCTCTGCAGCTCTCACATGGTCACCCACTGAATCTAAGCAGGGCTGTGCCTGGTCAGTACCTGGATGGGAGACCACGTGAAAGCTAGGTTGCTGTCGGAAGTGGTGTTAGTGAGGCCAGAAGGGTGCTTAACCTGAGGTCTGTGTGGGTCCTAATGCCCCAGTATAGTGAAAGGGACTACATACTATATATAGACTACTGACGTTAAACCGAGGTCCCGACTCTCTGTGGTCGTTAAAAACCCCTGCATTCTGGCCAAATTTGCCTACTGGCCTCAATCATGGCCTTCTAACCATACCCATATCATAATTAGCTTCATCACTTTGTCTCTGCTCCACCAATCAGCTGGTGTTTCAGGACAATTTGCATTTGCATATTGTTATTATTATTAGCAGTATTATTTATCATATGCATATCTGTATTTGTTTTAATGAAAACAAGTTTAGATTTGTCCACCTTGTCCACCTGTTTTGAAAATGTATGCATCATCACATGGGCCCTAAAAATATGATGCATGTTTGGATATAACTTTTTGACCACACTTCATTATTATTGTTCATTTATTCATCTGCTGGAAATTAGAACTGAATTTATAAATAGTTTTGAAACTATTCTTTGTGCTTAAACTAAATTTCAATAGTTCACACTTAGCTGATGATTGTTTATAAAGCTTGTTTGGCATGCTGTCCCGGGAGAGAGCCCTGAGCTCATAAGATCCTCGAGCATGGGGCTTCCACCCGTTTTCAAAGCGAGAGGGGAGTTTGAGCTCAGGTAGATCTCGAGAACTCCCCTGCTGTAGTTGCTAATGAACAGATAGTGATTGCTCTTAAGAGATAACCATTTACTAGGAGCATGTCTATGATGCCGATCTGGATTAGTCAGTTAACTTAGGTTGCATGTTTTGGACGGTGGGAGGAAACCGGAGAACCCGGGGGAAACCCACGTGAACACGGGGATATCGTGAAACTCTGCACAGAAATGTCGGCTGGCTTGGTAAGGATTAGAGCCAGTGACGTTCTTGCTGTGAGGCAACAGTGCTAACCACTGGGCCACTGTGCTACCCATCTAGAAAAGGAGGAGAAATAGAGGTGGAAGGTTTCTTCAAAACGAAGATGGCTGTTATATGGAACTTGGGGTACTTATAGTGGCTTAGAAATCGTCTAAGCAATCATAAGCACGTGATCCTCTCGAAATTAGTTTATAAATAAACTTCACTTAACATGTTGGCTAATGGATGTCTTCAGTGGAGTGTGCACAACACCATTTCCTTATCTACGAAAGTAAAGGAGTAAAGTAAGGAGCATAAGTAAAGTAAATAGACCAAATAGAGGAGGCTCATTCTCTCATTCTAGCGCTGCAGATGGTCTGTTTAACTGTTTTCACACTAGTGAAGCGTTCATTTTCTTCACTTACAAAGTCTGCTATGTAAATAGAGATTCACATTATGACAGGTATGAATATCAGCTGATTTGAACAATTTTATGAACTTATTAATTTTTATCAAAGCATTGATAATGTTTTTTTCCCTGCTACTGCATATAAATGTATTCCTTCATATCATCCATTCAGCCCTATAGGTCCCTATACACTGTTATCCCTAAAGTTGTATTAATTCAAAATACTTAGATTCAATAAACATAAAAAACAACTTTTTTGCTTAGTTATCCATTTTGTTTAGTTTATTGTACGATTTGCATGATATTTTTGATTCTACTGGAATGTTTAAATTGAATGTACTTAACAAAGCTTATTTTAGTCTATTGGTAAAGGAGTGATGTGCAAGGGAAAATGTGATTGGCTCTTTGTCTTTGGACTGACGTCACTGGTGAATACAGCGTGAGCGCGCATTTTCTAATGGCTGCTGATCACTGTGAGTACGATTTCATACTTTTGTCTCAAACAGTCCACATTGTTTTCCTTTAATAAACAAAGTATGTAACCGTTAGCAAGAAAACCACATGTAAGATTAAGCTGTGTCTGACGTTAGGATCATGTTATTGTTCCGGTCAATCGCAACCGCCATTGCCACATTTATTAACAGTTCTAAGACGTGAAAAGTGCAAAGACGTGCGTAATAGGATCATGATAGATCATATATTATGTAAAAAAAAGTTAATGTAAGTTTTGCCTGTGTTAGCGTATTAATTTATGCCACGTATAACCGATCACGGCCGCCGCATTTCATCTATATAATTCGTTACAGTTACTGTACGTGGAAACATGCTTTATGAGGTCGTCACGTATAAAGTTTAATATTGATGCTGTATTCGATGAGTCATCCGCGTTATCTTTTGTGTAAACTGATTATTTTTTCAGTGGTGGTTATGTGTCGTCAGATGTTTAGCATAACATAACCTGAGCTGTTTTTAAATTTTTTTTTTAACTTTTTTTTTCTTGTAAGTGAAGTATTAACTGACTAGAATACATTGAGATTTGCCCCTTCGGAAATACGAATTCATGTTAGTTGGCGGTTTTTAAAGATATGCAACCTCGTGCTCATCAGTCTTAGCAAGTGAATTTTCAGTTAATTAGAATGAAAGCTAAATAATTAACTGTAGCTCTCTAATTCTTTTGATTAACAATAGCTGTTTGTGGGAAATTTGGAGATAACAGATCAAATTATGTAAATGTGTTTTGTTAGCTAGTAATCTAATGTATATTTTTGTAACTGTAGATTGCAGAAAGATCAAAGCAAGGCCAACCAGGATGAGATGAAAATGTAAGTAATTGCTCATTTGCTTGTGACAAAAGATGGTACTTATTAAAACATTGCAGATTTAAACATGGGAGCTATGCAAAAAGCCAGCCATTTCCATGCATATATCAGGAATGTATTTGTAATGAAATGAGTACAGTATTGATAAACATGATAACATGCTAATTTGACAGTTGTTTAATTTTGACATTTCTCTGATGTTAATAAACTTTTTTGTGTTTTACTACTACAGGTGTATCAAGAGTTCAACCAGATAGTGTGGAAGAATCTTAAGCAAGAATTATATTGGTCTCTTGATCATCACTGCCCACAGCTGATTCAGATCTTCAGGTCAAAGAGAGGATTCACTGGACAGATTTTTATCTTCTACAAAATATCAAGGTTTGTGTATGCCATTGTTTGTACATGCCTTTGACATAAATTGATGCCATTGTGTGCTGAATTCTGAAATTTATATAATTACTTTAGAAATTCTCAGTGACAGAGACTAAATTTTAATACATGAAAATGCCCTTTCTCTCATGTTGACAAATGATACAATGTTGTTTCTCTGCAACACCTCAGGCCTCTGACCTCACTGACATGCCATGTGTTGCCATTTGAGTGCTTCCAGTAGTTGTTGGTGATGACCCAACAGTTCTTCAAAACATGTTTTGTAAGTATCCTTAATAAAAGTTTTTGTATATTAATCTAAGTTTTTTTGCATTATATTTCTTAATGTGCATTTATGTTAGCAATAACAATAAATAAATCACCCAAGCAATGTCTTATTGTAGTTCATTAATAAATAGATTAATGATCAACATGAAATTTGAATTCATGTTATAACTACTTTAAAACTCTAAAATGATAAGTAGAATTATATAAAGTCTTTAGTAATTTAATTATATCAAATCTTTTTATGCCGTATGCATTGACTTGTATACAAAAATATTTGTAGTATTTTCATATTTGATATATCATTGAATACTTTTTATGTTTGGGTATACAATTAACAAATTATGCTTGCATACAACTAAAAAACATTACATACAAATAATATATATTAAAATCAAATGTACACCTCTAAGATATATTTATGTTATCTATTTATTGTTGTTAGGCTTCAGATGATGGAGACTCAAATCAACATGTGCCCGTTGGAATTCTTAACCAAGAAAATTAAGATGTGGCTCTGCAACCCCTGTCCTTCCACCTCCACCCATTCTCTGGGAATCATCTTGGAGGGAAATGTTGTAATGGACAATATAGACAATATACCCCAGGCCAAGTGTCTTTTTGGATCAACCTATGCACTGCACCTAGGCTACACAAAATGCATGGACAATACCCTTCTTTTTATTCAACAAGTTTGGGTAAGAAGATGCTGAAGGGTAAGATTCTGGCGGTTAAAAATCAACTTGTCATGTAAACTGGTACAGAAAAGGCATGTTCCTTCAGGCTTGCTGTCCTAACTGTGAGATAAAAAAAATTAAAACTATGCTTTAGTGTTTGGCAAGTGTAAATATTCCATAATGTTAAAATGTAATAACATCCTGTGGTTGTTTATTTTTTGGATATGTTTGTAAAAATGTATTTAAAAATTTTAAACAAGTGTTTTAATAAGATTTATAACAATAAATATTGACTAATTGTTATACAAGGCATTTTCTAGTTTTGTCACTTGTTTCGGAGTGATATTTCTAAATGATTTTAAATAAACTGTAAAGTAAATTTTTATTCTTTGTCCTTGTTTGTAATTAGGGGTATTTTCATAAAATCATTTATTGTGAATAGCTAAGGTTAAAATTATTTCTGTCATAACATTCAGGTCAAGATTTTATGTTTTAGGTTTATACAGGTTGATTGAACTTAAAAAATTTATGGAAACTCGCTGCCCTAAAAAAGCTAATTTCGTCTTGTAGAAAAAACAATACTTTTTAGGTTTATTGTACCTAAGATTTAAATATTGTTGTACTAAAAACCTTTATTTCAGTCAACTAAATATTTAATTAAATGCATTTGAAATCTTAAGTACAATAAACTTAAAAAGTGTTGTTTTTTCAACGAGACGAAATTAGCTTTTTTAGGGCAGCGGGTTTCCATAAATTTTTTAAGTTCAATCAACCTGTCCGGGCTTACAGTGTAGATATTTCCTTCAAAATCTCAAATACTGTATGCATTCTCTTACACAGTGGACATTGTGCTCTGGATTGTGCTCCTAGACCAAAGTATGAGCCTTAACAAATGAAATATTCATCAATAATTGAGTCTCTCGCTCTGCAGTCCTGCTGGGGTTAAGATTGGGGTCTGTCTTATTGACAGAGCCTCACCAGAGTAAAAAATCTACCCGCAGCTGCTCTGAGAAAGAGACTGGTAAACAACATCTGAAATATTCCCCCTTCTCCACAAGCCGAGCAGAGTTGGATTGTGACACAGCAGACACACACACACACACACACGCACACACACATCATTAACAGGTGGGATTTCGAGCTTTTCAAATGTCCACAACATGCTGACAGTGGATACTGATCCAGGCTTCAGGATTCAGCGTGACACTGTGTGGTTTCTGAAAATTGTCAAAAGTGAAGATGAAATTGAGATGAGAAAATGACCCCAAACTAAGTGCATCTATACTGAGTGAAAACTCTACTCTGACATGTGGTGGGTACAGCCATCTAGGTGACATGCCAGAATAAAAATAAACACGAACCACCATGTGTGAGACATTTACTGTCAATAATAATAATGATAAAAAATGAAAATTATAACATATTAAATAATAAAAACACATTATTTCTAGTGTCTACATTATAAAGTAGATTTTAAATAATAATAATAATAGCAATAATAATAATAATAATATAAGTAAAAATTATTAAATAATTGCTAAAGAGACTGTGAGTGGGGTTTGCCGTAGCAAATCTCTGGGGTAAAATGTATTACCGTACTGCCCAAAAGCAATGGAGTGCTAAGTAATGGCCAATGTGTTTATTTATTTGCCAGGGTATGTGAAATAGTTGCTAGGCTGTGGTAATGCAGTTTAATAGGTGAAAACAAATTAGATTTGATCAGCCTAATTGAAAAAAAAACCTGAACCCTGTCTTTCTATGGTGTTCATGTGCTGATATAAGGCTTCTTAATGTTGTTGTATGGTTGCTATGGTGCTATAAGTGGCTGCAAGGGTGTGTCTACAATTTTTTACATCCCTACTTAATACTGACTTAATGGGCTGAGTCAAATGAGCCCACTCCCAAGCTTCTACATCACTCTCATCTAAATATCTGATGTCAGGCAATTTGTGTCAATGATAATCAGTTGATTTTGAGTTGAATTGATCAGCAGACCCGATGTCAGCCATTTTGTGCTAATGTTACCTACTAATAGTACTGGGTTGTGGTTGAAAGTATTATTATTATTATTATTATTATTATTATTATTATTATTATTATTATTATTAATAATAATAATAATAACTAGTGGTTAGCACTGTCACCTCACAGCAAGAAGGACATTTTAAAATTTGTAAAATGTATGCTGGATAAATTGCCGGTTCATTCCACTGTAGCAACCCCTGATGAATAAATGGACTGAGCCAAAGGGAAATGAATGAATGACTTATTATTATTATTATTATTATTATTGTTGTTGTTATTATTATTATTATTATTATTATTATTATTATTATTATTATTATTATTGTTGTTGTTGTTGTTGTTATTATTCATTCATTTTCTTGTTGGCTTAGTCCCTTCCCTGCTGAAAAATCCAGCTTAAACCAGCCTAGGCTGGTTGGCTGGTTTTAGCTGGTCGACCAGTGTCAGAAACCCCACTAGGAACCGAAAATATTCAGCAAGTTTTAGTTTCTAGACTGGTTTAAGCTGGATTTTTCAGCAGGGTTTATTAATCCGGGGTCGCCACAGCAGAATGAACCACCAACTTATCCAGCAACTTTTTAAGTTTTTACCCTTCCAGCCGCAACCCATCTCTGGGAAACATCAACTCACATTCACACACACACTACGGACAATTTAGCCTGCCCAATTCACCTGTACTGCATGTCTTTGGACTGTGGGGGAAACCGGAGCACCCGGAGGTAACCCACGCGAAGGCAGGGAGAACATGCAAACTCCACACAGAAACGCCAACTGAGCCGAGGTTCGAACCAGAGACCCAGCGACCTTCTTGCTGTGATGCGACAGCACTACCTACTGCGCCACTGACTCGCCCTATTATTATTATTATTATTATTATTATTATTATTATTATACAACATGCATAATATCTATAATATATGATATATATATATATATATATATATATACATATATGTAATAATAATAACATTATATTGTTATAATATTAGTTATAAAAGTAACAATATTTAGTAATCAAAAAATAATTGCTATTATGATGAATATATTATATAATAGAATAATATTTTGCTAAATGTATTCATATGAAATTGGAATAATAATAAAATACATGTTCTATTATTATTCTGACTGATGAAGATATCATTTATGAATTGTACAAAATAACAATAGAAGCTATATTGTATGATATATAAGGCGATATTGACATACAAATGGAATTCTTTCTAATCATCCATAAATATAGACATTTTAAAACTAGCCCAGTTTACAAACAACTCTATTAGAGACAAATGACAAATACACAAATCATTCATTAGCATGCTACAGTGTGCAGTTACATTTGTAAATAATTTATGGCAACAGCTGGTAAGTTTCAATTTATGATTTTCAAGCCTTTATTGATTGTTTTTGCTCATCTAATTCTGTGGGATATGTTTGTTTTCGCATTTGTTTATTTCACAGTCTTTTGTTCTGACAGATAGTTAATGTGTTAACAAAAGAGAATATTCTCTATTGCATGCAACACTTTTTGTCTCTCTCTCACCCTCCCTCTCTCTCTCTCTCTCTCTCTCTCTCTCTCTTCTTTCTTTTTCTCAGTTTGGAAGAACTAGATGTTCCCATATCACTATTTTATTTAGGTCATGACAGAGGAAGAATTGCTTCCAACATCAGCAAAACTCAGCCTTCATCAGCACATCTGATTACTCCGGGGGACTTCATCACTGAAAGAAGCACAAACAAATATACTGAACTTCTTCAGAAGGTGGACCAACGAATTGACCTATTGGTAAAGAATTCCGATATCTTAAATGTCCAATAGGTGACCGTCTTGAAAAAAAAATGATATATAAAATAAATAATACAAGAGAAATTGTGGGTGGAAAATCTCTTCACATCCTGAAACCAATTTTGATTTTAGTGGTCCATATGTATTTATATTTTTATTCTGTGGAAAGTGTCGGACAAAGAAAAGTTTGTCCAATTAAAATGTTGAGTCTGAACATTAGATATCCTTTTTGCACCTTTAAGGTTTTGGTGCCATAGAGAAACTGTAAGACTTAGTTTGATGGTATTCACGCCACAAAGCTGGTCAAACGATAACAATAAAATGAGGTTATGATTACTTCTGTGTCAAGTGCACATGTATGGTCGAGTGCAGAATGTATGTGTCTGATTACTTTCCTATCTAATAAAGGCAAAAAGGCCAAATATAAATCTAAAAAAAAAAGATGTTCCAGTATCAGCATAGATGTTAATCCAGGATCGCATTGTACTTGAAGTCATGATGTGCAAACCCTTGCACTTGAATTAATCTGTTATCGATTATACTTATTTACAAATCCATATATGTTCCTCTATTTAATATTTAAGTCCAACATTTTCAGTTGAAGTCAGAATTATAAGCCATCCTGAATTATAGCCAATTTCTGTTTAACAGAAAGATTTCTTCAACACATTTCTAAACATAATAGTTTTAAGGACTATTTTTTAATAACTGATTTCTTTTATATTTGCAATGATGACAGTACATATTAATTTACTAGATATTTTTCAAGATGCTAATATTCAGCTTAAAGTGACATTTAAATGCTTCATCATTTAGGTTAATTAAGCAAGTTAGGGTAATTAGGCAAGTCATTGTATAACGAATCTGTAGACAATCAAAACACATTATGTAGGAAGGCTAATAATATTGACCTTACTTTTTTTTATTATTAAAACTATTTTTATTCTAGTCGAAATAAAACAATAAAGCCTTTGTCCAAAAGAAAAAAATATTATCAGACATAATGTGAACATTTCCTTGTTCTGTTAAACATCATTTGTTTAATATTTATTAAAAATATTCAATATTTCCCAAATAATGTTTAACAGAGTAAGGAATGTTTCAACACTTCAACATATATGCTCCTCAACAAGTAGTATTGTGTGAAAAATGTATGATAAACATATCAGCACAAAGTTTTTACTATAAGAAATCTGTCCGAGATGATTTGTCCGTTGTTAGCAACAGTAACTAAG